AGAAAGAAAGAAAGAAAGAAAGAAAGAAAGAAAGAAAGAAAGAAAGAGAAAGAAAGAAAGATAAAGAAAGAAGGAAAGAAAGAAAGAAAGGAGGCAGGAAAGAAAGAAAGGAGGAAGGGAGGGAGGAAACAAAAAAGAAAGAGGGAGGGAGGGGGTGAAAGAAAGGAAGAAAGAAAGAAAGAAAGAAAGAAAGAAAGAAAGAAAGAAAGAAAGGAGGGATGGAGGGAAGAAAGAAAGACAGAAAGGAAGGAAGAAAGAAAAAAGCAAAAGAAAGAAAGAAAGAAAGAAAGAAAGAAAGAAAGAAAGAAAGAAAGAAAGAAAGAAAGAAAGAAAGAAAGAAAGAAGGGTGAGGTTTTTCTGACTTTGTTTTTATGGCTTTTGAAAGATTCAGTTCCGAAACCACCTTGAGGAGGCCTTGCTTTCTAGACAAAGAAATAGCAGCTAAGCATGATTCCCATCAAGAAATGAAACAATAAAACAAAATGATACCTGTGGAGATGGCCAACAGCAAGGCAATGATCCTGCTCCCCAGATCTCCCATTCTTCTTCCTTTCTCTGCAACAGGCAGAGCAACTCTGCCACCGGAAAACACAGGCAAGTGAGATCCCAACCACAGTCTTGTGGGTGGCTTCAATGCTCAGACTTTCCAGGGATTGACGATCTGCTCATCTCTGCTTTGACTCATGCAGATCAAAGGAGGAACATACCACAAACCCAGAACTTAGAAGCTTAACTCACACTTGAACAAAATAAAGCCAAAACAGGTTCTGTTATTTTAGTAAAAAGAAGTCTAATGAAAAAAGGGAACAAGGGTGACATGATAGTAGTCTTCCAATAGTTGAGGTGCTGCCACAAAGAAAGAGGGGGTCAACTTATTCTCCAAAGCACCTGAGGGCAGGACAAGAAACAATGGATGGAGACTAATCAAGGAGACAAACAATCTAGAACCCAGGATAAACTTCCTAACAATGAGAACAATTAACCAGTACATTGACTTACCCCCAGAAGTTGTATGTGCTCCATCAATGGAGATGGTTAAGAAGAAACTGGACAGTGACTTATCTGGAAAGGTATAGGATCTACTGCTTGAACAGAGGGTTGGACTAGAAGACCTTAAAGGTCCCTTCCAACTCTTCTGTTATTCTGTTTTCTAGCTGGAATAATTCACAGTAGGAAACGTATGTAAATATTTCAAACCATGTATGAGAATGGTGATGCATCCAATGGGTATCCCTTATAGAAAGTCAACACCCACTCACCCTTCAAGAGAATGAAATATTTTGGGGGATATTAAAAAGGCAGGCTGGAATATTTCCCCTAAAGGAAAAATGGGAAAAAGGGAGGCAGAAACCAGCCCCAGTCTCCCTGCCCCAAGCAGAAACTGAGGAGGCCAGCTTTTAGAAATGCAGAATTTGGTAATCCATTCAGAAAGACTGGGTCAAGACAGAAACTCAGATAAGCAACAATCAAGAAGTTGACAAAATTAGCTCAGACATACACCTAGGATTTGCATTTCCTGTTTTGCCTATAAAACCAGCTATGACCCTTATATGATCCCCATAGGAATCCAGAAGGTATAAAACCCCACCCACTCTGAACTCCATTTTGTCAGCTGTCCCAGAATTACATGTGGTTGGTAGTTCTGCTTCATCAATAATGGGAACCTTTCTTTTCCATCAGCCTCCATTTTATTTCCAGTCCCTTTCTCCCAGCTTGGAAGTGGACCTGGATATTTCTCAAGATTTCTGATCTGTCCTTTCAGGGGGAAGTGTCAGAAAGCCAGAGGAATCAAGAGGAGAGCAAAAAAATCACATAAAACTCTTACCATATCCCTCTTAAGAGAACTTTTCAGGTACCTGCTTGTGGATTACACTACCCTCTTGTGGGGAGAAGGAAGCAAGGTTTAGTAATGCTAAAAAAAACACACATCAAAATTGCCCTGTAACCTCCAACATTTCCTACCAAGATGAGCTTTGCAAAGAGTTGTGTGATTAAAAGCTTCATCCTCATATCCAGATCAACACCACACACACTCTCTCTGGAAGCCACATTTATATTATATTCTCATACCATGGCCATCTCACCCTCAGCCCATGGTGGAGATATTTAAAACTCTTTATCTGTTGCTGTTTTAAAGACGTGTTTTTGGTCTTTTTCCTGAATCATTTTGGTCATTCATTGCCCATAGAGTTGCTGATATGGTGCTGGGTGGGTGATATTCAGATCTTTGGGGCCAATTTAGGCTTTTGTATGTTTTCCCATTCTATCTACTAGTAGTCATTGACTTATGACCACAATTCATTATTTAATGACCCCATAATCCCTTGTGGGGTGGAGTCGGGGCAACTGAATGGAGTTAGTAGAGTGTTTTAATGCTGGATGCCCTTCCTGTTGCCAATGTGGAGTTTTGTTCAGCAGATATATTCTCAGTGTGCCCAGAGGGAGAAATATCTGCCTCTATCAAGGTTTGAACCTATAACTTCCTGATTGTAAGAGCTCCACCTCTAGGCCACCACACCACTTTAATTGACTTATGACCATAATTGAGCCCAAAATTTATGTTGTTAAGTGAGACATTGGCCCCATTTTTACAACTTTTCTTGCCACTGCTCCTAAGCAAATCATGAGAGTTGATTAGTTAGTAATGTGGGTTGGAAGTGAACCTGGCTTCTCCATTGGCTTTGCTCATAAGAAAGAAAGAAAGAAAGAAAGAAAGAAAGAAAGAAAGAAAGAAAG